TTATGAACCCACAGATTCAGCTATACACTCGTAAGCTTCACGCAAATGTCCAACTTGCATAGCTTGCTGCCCCCGAGCAAACAGTTTCTTGGCGTCAGTAGCGCAAGGCTAGAAGACATTTATAGAGGCCTACTATAGTGAAACAAAATAACAAAAGTTACCTGTCTGTGTTTCGTGACCGGTATTAAATTTAGTATGTCATCTTCCGTAAACGGTTGTCGAGTTCTGGTCGAACTTGCGTCTAGCTGGTAGTCCTATAGGAATAAAGATTGTAGGCTCTTGGATACATGTACTCTTTGAAAAAAAAGGAAGCTGTAGAACATGTAAAACAGGCTAAAATTTTGCCAAAATCGCGATAAAATTGGAATAAAGAGAACTAAAGAGTTGCTGTTCTTAACCCACTCTGCTAAATAGCTGAATTCCCAGTGTAGTACAAAGACGACGAAGCAGCGACACTTTCTGTATACCATACTGTTCCACAACCGAATCGATACAGTCAGCCTAAATCATAAAGCTTAGTGTTTTTGACGGTACTTCTAAAAAAAATTTGATACCTTGAGATCAAAAGCGTAATAATTCTTGGATTCTTGGCAAAGCGCACTCCAGAACTCTTTTGTATTCACAGCAACCCATTCTCCGCTAGCGAATGCCTTCTTTGACTTCTTACTACTCTAAATAAGAAGAGAATCTCTGGGAAAAGCACAGCGACATAGATGCTAACTCACTCTCTTCGTATTTCTGTCACCATTCATTCCATATGAATGATCGAAAGATAAATTACCGAAAACAGCATTGAGGAGATGAGAGATAGCGCAACCAAGTTGCTCCTAAAACAAATCAAGCTGAATACTTTTAGGAATATTAACAAAAGCTTAGGTTTTAGGTACCTGTGGCAGAGAATTCAGATATTGCCTAAGAACATGTTTGGCGCAACGAGCGATGAGCTCAGTTACTGATAACGACACCATGTATGAGGACGATCCAGTTTCCAAAACCTAGAATGAAATATATATATA